ATTCAAACATTATGGCGGTATGTAATTTCGAACGGGACGTAGAACGCAAAAAAATTTTAGATGTCGAATGGATGTAAGGGAATCCCCAACCGCAGTAGTTGACATGCGTTCTCAGATATTAAGGAGCCGCAACAAAGTTTGAATATAATAATACTGGAGTTTTTTTCCAATGCAGATGTAATGAAGAGGAAGGTATTGATTGTGGTGGTGTTGAGCGGCGGTCGGCCAGGCGACGGCCTTGGCCCCACCACACCGTCTAGCCATCCCCCACACCAACTATCAAGGTTATCACAGTACAAACAATCTATTGTTCCTAGGATTAGCATTAAAGATAACATAACAACTAGACTGTAATGTATATACTCTATTAGGTTATATAAGCGCAATAACATAGATTATATGTACTATAATATGGATTAAAGGTAATTAAAATGCTATAGTATTATACGAACAGGGATCAGATTACGCGGTATAATATACCGAACAACATATTCTCAAAAGAATATGTTCTTCGTAGTTATGGTAGCTCTCGTCTTTTGACAACCCTAAACATGGTGACGTCATACATCACCCTTGTTGACATGCGGACCGCAGTGTATGACGTCAGGGGCTTCAATAACGGCGCAACATGCACGCTGGCGCATCCGCCTCACTAACGGGCATAGAACGTGACAGGAAATATGTAACTTGAATATTAAAAAAAAACTTCCAAAATACTTGATTCGATTAATTTTGTGTAATCTTATGCCTCAATTACTATTAATTTTATGTAAATAATATTCCATTTGCAATTTGTAATATTTACATATCCACTATAAGTGGGACAGTTTCTATGGCCTTGGATGTTTGCCAAAGATACACCAAGCCATTTTCTTTTGGTGTTTTTTTATCTTTCTTTTTCGCTCACACATAACTTTTACAGTTTTTTTATTACTTTGGAAGCTTTATTACTACACTAGCGGCCGTCCGCCATTCCGTCCGCACGGAATTAAAAAAAAACCATAATTAGTAGCCTAAGTTCGGTATGTATGTCAAATTTAATTGAGATGCGTTCAGCAGTTCTAGAGGTACATTCAAACAAACATCCGTCCATCCATGTTAGTAAGAAGTCAGATTTGTCTAACATTTATTAGACACGTTTATAATACTTATATTCCTATGTGTATATAAGTAACAAAATACATAAGCGTAGCCACAATCTGTCACCTAGAGCACAGTGACTTAAATTTAAGATTACAAATGAAGACTCGTACTCGTAAATTCTGCGACCGAGAAGTGAAAACATTAAATTCTTATCGTGTTTTCAATTGTTTACAGCGTTAGTGCAAATATTTATATTTTATTTATACTATCCATCCGTTCATTTTGAATATGTAATAACTGCACATATCAAATATAAGAAAGTTAATGAAAATATTAGTTTGATACGTTTTGGCAGATAAATATAAAAATCTTTCAGTCAGGAGATTTGATCTTCCCTTTATTTACAGCAAATTTTTACATTCTGATAAATCTGTCAAGTACACACTTCATTTCCATAGATTAAGGATTAAGGTAAACTAGTTAACATTCGCCTCACATAAGAGTTATGTTTGTAACACAATAGCTCTACGTTTGTTATCACTAGGGATGCCACCTCTCCGAGTTCGACTAGGAATATTGCGATTCAGGCTGATTTTAGCTTGGTTTAATGTTGGCAGCCCTTAACGTAGATACGAATGTGAAGTGACCGCGAACGACTGCACAATGTTTGCATATCTATGTTTCTACAGACAATGTAAACACGAATATAAGCAAGTCGCAAACGTGTCTGAACATGTTCCTAGTAACCACGCTAACTACCTGCTTACTACCAAACACACGAAACATTTGCATACAAACATGATGCTTTCTTCCTCACTCTCTTAAAATATACTGAGACCACAATATGTATTTATGTGCACACTCCTTTATAATCCCGTTAATACAAAAGCAGAAACCAACGAAGATAAAATGATAAAAGATAAACAGACATTAATGGTTAAAGATCGTAAAATAGCAAGAGCGATTACATTACGGAAACTATAAATTGCAGTTTCGAACTGTGGAGAAAGTGTACCAACAATTACTCCGCTCTGTGATTTACTAAAATCAATAGAAAGTGAAACTTTTAAACCGTGGCTTATAATATTGAAAAAAAAAACTATTCATCTTTATGCAACATCAAAGACAAATCCTTTTTTTTATTTTTAACCAGTAACAGTATTAACGTTCGTGATACTTCATTTGTTTTCCGGAAACTTATTCACTGGTCTGAATGTTTTCTCTCGCCTGTCTGTAAAATTTTACAAGGCAATGTTGCTTCCGAGTTGCGATGGCGCCATATCACGTAAACTGTTCACTAACGTAAACTTTAAATTACATAATCTGTAGCGGGATTATTTCAAATAGATGCGGAATACACCAGCTGCCGCACTTCAGCGTCCGACGGCCAATAAAAAAAAAACTTATTCTATGTTTTACGGGCGCGTATTTGTACCTTTATAGCTGCGTACATACAAATACTGAAAGACCACCTGCGTAGACCGTCACTAAGGGTGTTCTTTAGTGTAGTTTCATCATATTAAATCTACACTTAGGTACAGATAAGAAACAGTTAATTTTATATTTGATATACAAAGTGAAAGAAGTATTCAAATTGCATACCAGGGCGCCAAGCATATTTTGCGATGCTCGATTAACGTAACGCCCAATCAAATAATTCAATTAGTATGGAATGCGATCTAGAATGTCACGATTCTGAGAATATTCTAACCAATGAAATAACTTGGTTGGTTAATAGAATTTGAAGGCATTGTTCTTGCTACAAAATAGTTGCGATTTTTTGCCTCTGCTTACACAAAAAAATCGATGTTCTGGAAAAATATATTATACTACAGCTGTCTAAAAAAAAAACAAACAAACATATCAGTCGTTTACCAGCAATGTTTACAACAATATCGGATCAGGCTGACAGGATGCGATAGTTCGACGACCCGTGCCAATTGAACGACAGTCCAGCGGCAAACATTTGGGCACTAAATATAATTTAAGTACTTAATTCCAACTGCAATAAACATCTTTCGAGGATGATTATTGAAGATTACTTCATATTTACCCCCTAATCCTAGTGATAACAATAAAACATTTCAGGACAAAATATATGCGACATTAAAAACAATTCAACAAGATATCCACGCGCTTCTGTATTTAATCTTCTATTTCCACTGGCGCGGCAGTAATCGCACTGCTTGTCGTTCAGTGGAAACAGGCACCAAGATGTTATTGATAAGGGTCGTTGTGCGGCGTGCGGCTGGCGGGACCAACGCATTGTCCTCGCCCCGGGGGGCAGTAACCCATGTGCGCCGATTAGATACCGCCGTCGGGTAAACACGCACCAAACGACTTGAAAGTAAATTAACTCGTCGCATCGCTTGTTTGCAATTTGTTGCAAGTATACTTCTAGTTAATATAAAAAAATGTGTACTAAAACTGTATATCTGATGTTCCCAGAGTTTTAAATTACAGAGAGAGAATTACAAACAGAATTAATTCGAAATAAAACACAAGCACGATAATTTAGTTTTACTTGTGGCAAGCCTTCAAATGTTTAATTTGTGTGTGATAGTCGTAATATCATTATCAAATGATACCAACTTATATTAATTTCGATAAAGAAAACATAACAGGTTCAAGTGACCTACTTTAGAAAAAAAATAGTTGTATTGTTAAAGAACAAAGCCTTATCATGGCACTTGGTCTGAAAGCACACACGTGCGCTTGTGAAATGTTTTCTTTATCACAACGATGTTTCTGTGGTTGTTTCGAAAGCGCGTAGTGTTGTCGACGGCGTCTTGGGACTGCTTATCGGGCGAGACTTGTTAACACCAAGTGTTTGCACTGCAAGCGTTGTGTGGACATGTATAAGATGATGAAATTGCTCAAGCATTTGTTTTCACAAAGCTTTACCTTTAATGAGTAGTATTTGCATTAAATTTTTTGTTTGTACGCGTGGCATAAATTAAATTCCAGGCTTATTTTACACTTCTTTAACTATAGCTTTCTACTGTTTTCCTTGTTTTGACACATATTGTCATCCCTTTCATTCTATTTGCAAAAAAAAACAATATGTTTTGTTTCATGTGTTAAGACACATTTTCTTCATATTCTTCAATTTTCACGATAAATTCATTTAATACCGATTGTATTTATCGATATATTTTAACAAATTTATACGCAGTTACATATTTGGTAAAAGAAACTTTCATATTCAAATACAAAGCAAAAACATGCCATCATCGTAGCATTTCAACTATCAGTTTTAAGTCAACACAGACTAATTTTTATCGCAAATAGCACAAAGCATTGAAAGTGTGAATATAGAAGGCGTAATATAGTAAAACAGTTCCGTTTACAATGGCCTTTGTCGCTGCGGGCTTTATTAAAATAAAACAGGAAATGTTAATTACTAAGCTAGGGAAATCCGATATGCATACAGCGTATTGTATTTAATACATTCCATTTGCTTTTCATTAGAATTAAATCTATACATTTGATAGTAAGTAAAGTATAAAACTCTGCAATTCTTTTTGAGTTATTTCTCTTTAGGATTGATTACTGCAGTTATAAAAATTCGTTGAGTACTTGAAGAAAGTATTGCAATTTGACCAACGGATGCCTCTCGAAGGGGTCTGAGCGGATGTGGGTTTCCCCGGAATGGCGCTTCGCGTCAATTTATAACACTAAAATAGTTAGCGGATCAGTTTAACTAAATTTGTAAAGGATAATTCATATGAAGATTAACGCAATTTTTTATTAACAATTAAACTGTAAGGAAATCGCGCATTATATCTTTTATTATGATCTCAACTATAGTAGAAATTGCTTAATATAACATTGGTTATCGGACCACAATCTTAGAACACGACTGCACCTTTTTATTTTTTACTTACTTATTATAGTATTGTAGATGTATGTCTTACCTGAAACATATCAGTGTCGGGGTCTTCTGTATACTCGACGATGACCGCCTGACTGCGGCTGAGTGTGTACGAGATGGAATGCTGGCTGGCATCGAGGATAGCTTTACTGCTGTGCGGCGTCTTCACTACGTAGTGTTTGGAACGGCGCACACCGTTTGCTGCCGGCCGGCGGTACAATACGAACTTGCTGCGCCGCCGGCCGCGCTCGCCCGCTGGCAAGTAACCGTTGTACCTGCAAGTATACATATATGTTAGTAACGAACTCAGAGACATTTAGTGGAGACTTAATCCGTTGCTTAGTTGTCGAAAGCTACTCTGAATGGGAGTATTGCCATACTTATTATAACAACGATTAATTGATAGTGTGGAACACTTTTAGTGTAGATTTAGTATGAGCAATCTACACTAAGAGATAATTAGTTATATCTTAATGTGTTAGTTAAGTTTTAGCTTTAAATCGGAGGGTTTTATAACAATCAATATCATCTAAGTTAGAGCATTTGCAAACTAGGCACACTATAAAATTTTATATTAAAATATTTTATTTTACTTAAACAAAAAACCAAAATGTCTCGATAATCACTTCAAAGTCATCAAATTAAAGGCAGTGGAAAACCGCAAACCATTATTTGAGACTAAATAGCTAAGTTGAGAATTAGGTCAAGATAAATTAGGTAGTATGCAGCTATTTACAATTCTTGTATTTTAAAGAAAAAAAATCATGCATTTCCTAAAAGCAATTCGTATTGCAGTACTTTTGATCGTAAAATGATTTAAATTATAATAACTTCAATTAAATTTAAACTGTATTAGAAAGTTTATTATTTGGAGAAAATTAACAACTGAATTATACGTAGTTTTGGGACACATTTGTCAAAGTTTCAAGAAGTTATTAAAAATAATCTAATAGCATCAGTCGTAAATTTTTAATTAAAACAAAACATATATTTGTGCAATGCTAATATAATAAACAATGCGTAAAACACTTGATATTCAGGTCATCAGAAACCAATAAATACAATCGTACGTGTACAATTTGCATACAATACGTTGATAACGAGACTTTGTCCTTTTTTTTAATTAACACAAAAACCCGACTAGCTGTACAAAAGACTATGAGAAAGGTTAAACTTCCGTGAGAAAAACCATGGAGGATTGTAGCGTTGTGATGTAACGATACGAATACGTACAACGCGTGGAATCCGCGACAGAGATAAACAACTTTTGCCAAAACAAAGCTTTTTATACATTTTCATGGTCCATCAGAACGTTTAGTTTCTGATGCCAAACCATGCGGTGTGCATTTTATTTTAAAAATAAAACAATAGAATTTTTAAAAGGCTGATAGATTAATGTTCTTTTGTCTTTTTGTTCATTAAAAAACATTTGATTTAAAAAAAAACTTTATCGTAACGTGTGATTACTGGCCAGTAAGCGTTGATTCACAGAGATCGCTAGAACGAACGACATATGGTCACTCTTTACTCGTGTTATTCACGCAATGAACGCGCATTACGCGCAATACGGCAACAATGCAAAAGAAATTGGATAATATCAAGTGGATGCATCGTGCATGTGAAGCTTAACAACTGCAACCTTTGTTGTGTAAAGTGACGTAAAGCAATTTACAGAACATAGTGCGTGCGAATAATTTTGCAAGTAAACGTAAGATTCTTCGTCAGTTATGCACGTCCCCATCTAGGTACATCGTAACTAGGTCTTAGTGAACCATGCTGATTGAGGGCGGATTGGGTGACTTCGGACGGAATGAGACGCTATAAGAATTCCACGGTCACATGTCCTTTTGACCCTTTCAAGTGAGGGCGCCATAAAAATCTTGCCCAAAGCGTTAGCAGCGCTATAACTGGCCCTGCGTTCTTATTAATTTAATGCGGGCCATTCAAAGTAAACTCCTTAGTTGCTTGTTTGCTTGATATCTTGCTCCACAAAAGACAGAAAAGCAGAGTATGTTTGTTATAATTTTGCATAACAACTCTTGTTTTTCTCGTAACATTAGCTAATATAGGGGTAATAATAAACAAAATCCAATTTATGATAAAATGGCTTCATATTGTATAAAGTACCAACGTTATGCAATGCTGGACAGTAAACAAGTACAACGACAGATATAAATTAAAGAAAAAATTGACCGAAGGAAAACTTTATTGAATTTCAACACGCTTTTTTTCTATGACATAAAATTATTATTGTAATAAAACATATTTTTGTCTGGCGATTTTCAAACATTATAATTATTTTTTGTTTTTAATAACATCAATAAAATACAAGCAAGCTAATAAGCAGACTAACAAATAAAACACAGAAGGTAAAGAAGCCCATACAGAATTTTATGATAGACCAACTTTTTATGTAATCAAACAGCGGGAGACTGGATAGGCCTGTAGCCGCCATCTAATTTAAGGAAGTATTGTTAATAAGAGAAGTTTATGGAAGGTCATAAAATAAAAGCAGAATCAACAGGGGGCTTTTTATTTGTATTGATTTTATTATATCATTATCATTGATTTTCTATTCATTAAAATAGAAAATGGAGTGCACAACATGGCGACAGCGTCAGGGGACTTTTCTTTGTGATCAAAGGAAACAAACTCTATATTAAACTAGACTATATGTTTCAACAGCGATATTTTTATAATACGTCTAATATTTAATTAAACTTGTCTATATCCAAAATGATTAGGATTAATAGTTCATTCATAAATATTACGTAAAAGGATAATAGTAAATAACATAGCTACGAACGTGCGAAAGGTCGAATACCATCGTCTAGTCAGAAGCAGATGAGTTTGGCGTTCATCCAAAGGTCAGAGTGCACTGCTGAAACCATGCCAATGTTTCAACACCCCTTTTCTAATGAAAGATTTCAATAAAAGTTTCAAAGAAGAGCAGTCTACTAAAAAAAACAACCAGAAATTCAAATGACACTCGATGCCAGAATTTAGAATCCGCAATTTGTGAAGATCGTCTCAAGAGTCGATAATATCCGCATTATCTTTTCAAATTTCGAATAAGATTTTACCATCAAATTTAGTTTAATTCTTTCATAGATCGCTTACGTTTTAAGTAAAATTGAGTCGATGTTTACTGACTCGTAAATTATCTCACTCACTCACTTACTCATTCACTCACTCACTCACTCATGATACTCATAGAAACTCTAAAAGGAATAAAAAATCATTTTAGTACGTAATAGTATAAGATACAGAAATAATAAATCGTCATCAAATTCAGGTATATCCACAGAGCAATAAATTAGAGTACAAAAACATTGAATCGGAATTCAACAGAAGTATGGACATCTAGGAAAAATGGCCTTTAAAATGTCTTTTCAAAGAAAGATAAAATTACAGTCCACGCAAACGTCTGTAAGGCAAGTAATAGGATTACCTGTCTATTACCATGACGCGCCAGGCTTCAAGGAAGCTTAACGTTCTTAAGGGTATTTTACATGACTTATTTCTTCTGCACTTTATGTCATAAACGTACGTGACGTAGATTTAAAAAAAACTAGAAGAGGTAATTTTTATTTTTTATTGTCATCGATACTTGTATTTAGAATCTAAGCCTATTCATCATTTGATAGGTCGTGTAATAGGACCAGTATACTAGCTGTGTGAACGCTCAACGTAATATGAGTGTGCCAACCCTCAAGGGCAACGGATCGATAGTGACAGAGAAACTGCAAAACAAACAATTAAGTGAATGCGGATTATTGAAACAATTAAGGAAATATCTTTAAACATTTACGTATTTTTATCGGATAAAACGGCACTACTGAAAAGACAGAATATTTTAGAAAGTATGAAAAATATTGGTAAAATAAAAAAAAAAGTTGTCACACGCGAGTCCGTCCGCACGGAATTAAATAAAATCTTTATTAGTAGCCTATGTATTCTTTCATACTATGTTTTACTTTCATGCCAGATTTCAAGGAGATCCGTTAAGTGGTTCTGGTGACAATTTCTAACAAACATCCAACCAAACATTCGCATTTACAATATTAGTAAGTAAGTATTTTTCAACACTTGGGGCGATTAATTTGAGTAAGAAATAGTCGAATCGGACTTTTAACGTTTTCCAAAGCAATTTAATATTTTTAAATTTTACATCATAATTCGTTTTACATACTATTTTCGTTTTACTACATTTTATATACTAAAAACTATTTACCTATCTATCTATACTTTAGCTTTTGGATCGTATTCCCGTAATCCTTTCCTTATATGTGCATCAAAAGACCCTGCGACTTGTTACTGTAATACTCAAGACTTTAATACCATCTTACAATAAGCTTCTTACGTCACAAAAGATAATGTTCTATGAATTTCTACGCTCGGTATTCATAACTTTCAGAATTAATATTTCTTACGTCACATCTCGAATATATTGCTAATAGAAACCAAATAAACTTAAAAAGCAATTAATTAAAAACGTGAGGTCTTTTGTAACAAAGAAGTTCGAATAATAGTAGAGGCCTGTGGTCTCTGCCTACTCCTTTGGGTGTCGAACGTGAGTTATGTTGTATTATTTCAAGGCTAAAGTTATTCAGTTAAAGAAGTAAACTAATTCTTAATTATATGACTGATCAATACTAGAAGATTAGTCGAACTGTCAACTCAACACATGAAAGTACCGTGGCTTTCTGAGACGAAAAGCCCTGTTTAAAACATATTCCTTTTTTATATCATAAGGTGGCAATCGAGCGAGCGGTCACCTGAAATCGCTGAAATAGCGTAGTGACCGTTGCCCATAGACATATGCAATTGCATATGCGTTGCCTACCTTAAATCGACGGAGGAGAGGATGCACAGAAAGAAAATATTTTCTCTTTCCATGTATCCTCTCATCCGGGAAGTCCACTTCCACTTCCCAACCCTTCCTCATAAGAAAAAGGATAGGAAGGGAAAGAGGACTAAATTAGGCCTCCGGGACGCGTACTCATCAGACGAAACGCGGAATTGCTTCCACTTCACGCCTGTCTTCTGTGTGGTCGTGGTATTTCACCGGGCGAGGCCAAGGGCCAATTCGTGTGAAGATGTTTAATCGGGCTCTACCACTGTTATAACGATATGTTTTAACGAGATTTTGTTTTAACTAGCGGTTAGCGTGATGTCTTACAGGCCGATGAGCTACGCGTCTAGTATAACAAAGACCGTATTACAAGATCAAGGAAGTCATCGCACTAATAAAAAGAATGTACTTAAGCCTCTT